ATATACATAAAATCACGTAAAAATTAAAAAATTCACAAACTTAATAATTAAATAAATCTAACCTACTAATACGCTATACGTACTAGAAAATTTTCTTTTTAATAAATGTGTCAAGTTTTGTTAAATAAAAAATAACTATTTTTTAAGAAATTGTCAATTGAATTATTGACTTAATTAATTATTGATTGATCGATATAATATGTGTTTCACTAGTGTGAGTCAATGATTTATAAATCAATCAACAATTGATAAAAAAAAAAAGAAAAGGTTTAGGCACTTTTCAAAAGAGGCGGAAAACCAATCACCTCATCTAATTTCTCAAAAACAAAAACAAAAAAGAAAAAGAAAATGTAGGACCACCAATTATTAGCTTTGATTTGAACATATTTAAGTAGGGTCATTCTTTGGTGCTCCGGCCTGCTTTGGTACACGGGCAGGACGAGTATAAATAGCTGTTGACTAAACTGGGATTGGGTACTTAATGTGGGTGCACCGTGTAACGGTGAAAGGCGCAGCAGGAGATGAATTATTTGGAACTCGTTTAATTCGTTAATTCGAGTTTTTAATTCGAGTTGAGATGTGATTTTATATGAAAATTTTTTACTGTAATAAAAAAGTTAAATGTAACTGTTTTCGAGAGATTTTTACTGCAGTAAAACTCATATTCTGAATTCAAATTAGTAAAATAAACGAGACTTATGTGTCCAAAGACCCATGTGGCGCCATGAAACTGATGTAATCGGACACTAACTCCACGTCATGACCTTGTGTTTTTATACGCAGCGATGAAGATGGTTTAGGGTTTCAATTGTGGCGGAGCAGAGGCTTCATGTTAGCCGTTGGTTGTTTGTTCGGGGTGAAGTTAGTTGTCCAGACGACATTGAATTATGGCATCCTAAGGGAGGCATTTCCTTAAACATCTGTCATGCAAGGAATTTCTTTCAGTACTCTGAGTCATTCAAGAGTCAACATTGCTTTACCGATCAGCCATTCTCGTAAACATGAACTGCCGAAACATGTTAATCTGACACATTAAACCATTTCCAAAGTAATTCTTCACAAACTTATTCATACTTCTCTTCAATCATCGACCCAACAGGTAATCTAGTGCAAATTATTGAGGAAGACTACCGAAACCCGAGTTTCTGCAAGGACGGTCGGCAGCGTCGTGCCTTCTGCCTCGCTGTTGGCCGTCGTTGTGTAGGAGAAAATGCCCGTTGCTGTTTCTGGAGATCCAGATCCCGGCGCTACCAGCGATTTCCAATATTTAATGCGTGTGCTTTTGGGTGATGAGGTTATCTCCGTCGGCAGTCGATAGACAACTTTCGGGGTTTCAGGTCAGTAGGAAATTGAGGATGGCGGGAGGTAGACAAAAAGACGCGTTTGAAACTGTTTTTTAATTGTTTTTTACGTCTTTTAAGACAAAAAATGAAAAAATTTAAAAATTACGTTTGTTTAATAAATATTTTAAAAATAAAAAATTATAAAAATAATTTTTTTTTGTTAAAAAAGTATAAAATGATTAGAAGTTATTTTTTTTTGTTTTTATTTTTTAATACTTATCAACAATGTTACATTAAATGTTTAATTATTAATTAATAAATATGATTATAGCTAATAAATAAATAATAATTACTTAATTATTAATTAATTTGTAATATATCAATCATATATATATATATTAATTATAATCTATTAATTATAATCTATTAATTAGTAAATAGTTGGCAAATAAAAAATAATAATTACTCAATTAATAATCATTATTAATTTTAATTATTAATTATGCAATGTATTAATCAATAATAATTAACAATTGACAATTAGTAATTCATCATTATTTAAAGAATAATTATCAAAAATTGATCATACAATATATCAAATAATAGATTATGAAATAAATATTAGTAACTAATCAACTAATTATTTAATTATGTAAGTAAAAGTTAATTATCTAAATAGTAAATATAATATTAATATAGTATTATATACTGATCATTTTTTCTTAATACACTTATTAATTACTTATAAACTAATAAATATGGATTGTTACTAATATAATAATTACTTATAACTGATTATTAATTATTATTTTTTAATTATTTAGCATACTGATTTATTATATATAATTTAATTACCAATGTACTCATTAATTATAAGATAATATATCCATTATTATTGTTATTATATTATTTTTTATTTACTAAGTGATTAAAGTTATTAATTACTTAATATATTAATTTAAGATTATTAATTATATATAATCGAAACAAAATTTTAAAAAATGATTTTCAAACCCTTACCTCCCCTAGTGACGCAGCCGACAACCTCTTTACGGTAGATCCCAAGCTTGGGGCTCGGAAGGGCCTCCCAGTGCCCAGCCACCGTGTCCAACTCATTGGCCCATGAGTTCTCCCTTGTCGTAAATCCGATCACATATATCTTGCTATCAAAAGTTACAGTCTTGACAAAGCTCCTTTCCGCTGCTGGCATGCTCGGACCACGCTCCCACGTGTGGAAGCGGCAGTCAAAAATCCACACCTCCGTTGAAAAGCGCAGCCGTCTATAATGCCCCCCAGGACGTAGATCTTGGGGCCCAAGGCCACATAATGGCACCAATCTAGCAGGTCCTTGGGAACTGCTGGGACTGGAGCAAGTTTAATAGTGCTTTTGTTGTCGTCCTTTGGGTTGGGTCTTCTATGGATCGTGAACCAACGCAGGGGCTAGCATTTTGGGCATCGGAGCCCGACGTAAAGCAGGAGTTCTGTGCAGTTGAGGGAGGATCGCGCGGTGAAGAATTGCGAGAGGAAACGAGGGATCTAATGGGCTTCGCCACCGCCGCAAGGACAGGGTGATATTGTCTTGGGACACAAGCCAGACATTGCAAAAAGATGTCGTTTGGCAGTGACGGTATTAGGATCTCCGGGGTGGTGGACATGGTGATTGTTAACGAGTTCGTCCAAAACGAACCGGAGAAGTAAGCAGTCAAGTAGAAACTAGTAAAGTTATAGTTGCAAAGTCAATATTACAACTCCGTCGACAAAGTGAAGATATAAGCAGCATGCATATACTAAAACCAGCCCGATATACAGAACAATTTGCTTGATTTCTATGGAAATTGTAAATTGTAGAGTCTAAAATTCGGATTATAAATTCTTAGTCGATATCTGTGTATGTGAAGGGTATACATACATATATGCATAGAAGCGAGCTACGTGAGTTAAACTTAGAGATTGAAACATAGAGATGGAAGTCTTCTTTCATTTCTCGACAGTGAAGACTAGGCTCATGAGCTTATTATCCTAGATCGGAACAAGTTGATAGGATCCCTTTTTTACGCCCTCATGTCCCTCCCGTGTGGCGACGTGGGATCGTAAGAAAGGAAAGATGGGGATCGGTTTTGGCTAGTTATGAGTCTTCCCACCTTGTCAGCTTTCCAGTCCTAGTAGGGCTTTTTCGAACACCCCCAGTGGCCCCTAATGGAATCAATGGTAAGCATTCCATCTAGTTTCTTAGCTCTCCAAAGCGAGTTTATGTCTTTCCGGTTGTGGAAGCATTCCCGTATGCACATACATACATATATGCGCATATATATATATATATATATATATATATAATGCAAGTATTTGGGCACTTCAGAAAGACGAGAGTCTATTTTTTTAAATCCATAAACCAATTTAACCTGCAAAGTTTAACAAGAACTCAAAATCAACAAGAAAGTTTAATCATGTCTTTAACTAGGCTAAACAAGCTTTAGAACTAAAATCTCCTTCAACTTCTATCACAAATAATAAATTCAACTAAGAACTGAAGCCTAAAAGCCAACAAATATTTGAGCAAATTTTAATCATAAAATCAGAAGAAGTTATAAGAAGAAACCATGAAAGAAGTACGGAATAATCAGAGATAAGTCTAAGACTTAACTTAAGAAACCTTACCAAAATTTCTGGTTTTCAAGCGTGATTTTTCCCACAAACTCTTTGGAATCCAAGTGAGAAAGTGATTCATGGATTAATTTACTAAAGCCAGTAGAACCAATTTTTAAGAATTTGCTAGAAACAGTGGGTCTGATTCTTTACCTGCAAAGTTATGAGCATATAAGAAGACAAAGTTATGTCACACGTGCATATAAGAAGGTTTGATGAGGAAAGTGGTTTGGTCAGACGGTGCTTTGAGATATGTGAATGAGCAACTTTAAAGAGATAAAACCGAAGTGAATCACGACTTACAAACAAATTAGAAAGGAGTCAAATTGTAAAAGGCTTTTTTTTATTACAAAATTCCCTCAAGTTTTACAAGTTTGACAAATTCTAGTTGGTTTACATTGAACTAGTCCCCATATATAGGTAAAAGTTTTATGAATTCTTCTCCAAAAACAGTTAACCTCCGATTTCAAAAAATATTTGATAGTTTGAGTAATTTATCCTATCCTGTGATTACAATTTGTATTTATATGGAGCTTTTTCATGTTGCTTCTTACTATTGAATTCTCTGTTTTTTTTCCCCCCCTCAATCCGTAGATGTAATTATATCGAAGCGAATTAAATCTCCTCATTCTCTTCTCCATTCTCTCCCTTAATTTTTAATATTTCACGTTTTCGTCAACAATCTCGAGAGGTCAACGCACGTCAGACACAATCTTACCATTACAAACTACTAGTGCGGACACCAAGAATCAAACCTATGAAAGGTTGGGAGAATCATAGAGAGTAAAGACGTTAAGAATCGTTCACCTATGAAAGTAGGGGAGAATCAGTGGAGCGATGGAGTTGGTGTAATCTGAAAAGACCATCTTTATTTCGAGCTTTACATCTCAGTTGAGTCACGTGAGCAATGTAAGAATTGAATATGGATGTATTAAGTAGCTAATTCTTTTAAGGACTTTGACAAAGCAAGATTAAGATTGCTGGAACATTCATAATTTGAACACTAATCTTACTAAGATGAGGGCAAATGAATCCAAAGAGATCATTGTTGATATTGTTTCTTATGAACTTGTCTACAAGAGCATTATTTTCTCATGATTAGCCATACTAAAATAACAGGAGGATTTGAATTTAATCCAGACATTATGAAATTCAAGATTTCAGTATTTATACTTTGATCCACATTATGAGATATTGTATTCACAAGTGATACTGTCATTGAAGCCTAAAGAAAGCTATGAGAGGATCATAAACAGCTTGCTTGGCATTTTCACCCATTACATAGTCTGCATGAGCATAATCATCTCTGTACTGAACCACGAGCTTATCTCCGTCGTGATCTTTCAGGCTATCCAGCAATAGGTGCACGTCTTTGGTATCGGAGAGAGCATCTTGCCCTCCATAGCTGACAAAGAGAGGAAGGTCATTTGGAATGGTTGTCATGTTGTAGGCTGGAGGATAAGGCTTCCCATAGTGTCTTATATTCTCATTTTCATCACCGTAGTTATACATCGTGATCGTCCCATCTCTTATCACTGTTCCATAAACCACCGCAATCAAAAAAATTTCCATTAGTAACTAAAGAGCCTTTTGGTTCATCTAGATTTTCTATGGTTTGTTTTCGTCTAAGTTGTGCTACTACTCATGGTTCGATAATCACGAAATAGGAATGCTTACTCTGTGCCAGATGGATCATGTTCTTTGTCGACGTTGATTGAGGCTCATGGTCCAGAAAAACATCCACTATCGAAGAACTCAGGCAGCAATTCTCACCTATGGTTGTGACAAAAATATGAAGGTCAAATAATGAACTTTCTGAGTGCTAAAAGGCAAATCAGGAAAATGCATACAACCTGTGAAAGAGGTTAACAAGTTGGTGCAGTCAACACCAGGTTTCTTGCAGATATCCTTGAGAAGATTCATAACAGCTTCACTAGATTCACGTAAGGAGGAAAAATATTAAGCGTCAAAAATATATTCTAAAGATCAAAGAATAGCCGAGTTTTTGCATGTATCATCAGAATTCAGGAGAGGAAATCGTGAGTGAATTCCTTAAGTCAAGAAATTTCACCACTAATCGCTTTTAAATAAAATTTTAGTAATATAAGTGTCATCACGCTTGCAGAAAAGAAGTAAAAAGTTCATACTGTGTGGCAAATTCGAGTAGCATTAGTTTCTTACCCTCTTGGAACAAATTCGTGAATACCTAACCAGTATAATGTCTGTTACAAGAAGATAAAAATGGCAATTAAGAAGTTACTCTAATGGATAACTGAAACAGGTGGAAAAGGAATTGGTGCTTACCTCAGCAATGAAGTTCTCAGCAGCATTTCTTGCAAGTGGTGAGGTCAACTGACCAACATGAGCAATTGGGCTAAGTAAGGCAGCTGATCTCACCATATTCAATAGCTGGTCTTTCGAAAGCGCGGCAAGAGCAACCAAAGTTCCCTACAAAAAGAATTCCAAGTTTTTAAGTAATACCGATTTTTGTGAAATTAGCAAGTCAATCCCAAACCACAAATGAAAAATTAAGGATTATGAGATTGACCAGTGAATGCCCAACATAATGCAGTTTTTGTCCTGTTTGATCATGCACATACTGGAGTGTAGCTGGAAGATCATAAGCCACTAATTCATCCCATGACCAATTCCAATAAGCCTAACCAACCGAGCAAGAAAAACATTTCACAACCTGGAAAACCAAAAGGCTAACAAGGGAGATATCTATGCGCAGCGAAGGAAACTTAACCGCATCAGTAGGAGCAAGTGATACATGGCCACGGCTATATTTCGTTCCACGAGTGTTGGCTATCCACACATCAAATCCATTATCTGCCAACAGCAATGCCAAAGACTGGTGTGGTGGAAGTAGCAGCCATGTTATTCCATCCTGTGCACAATTCCAGAAACTCTTACACTCACAGAATTACCATTTTATGAAACTGGTATGGATTAATTTCACTAATGGTCTAAACAATCATGAAAATCTCATTCTACTCCTCAAACTTCAAAATCACCATTTAGTTCTCTAAACCTAATTAGATGCGTCTGGTTTTTCATAACGCTAACTTCCATTAAAAAGTTAATAGAATGTAATCGGATCACATGAGTCACACGAGTGTTGCATGCCTCCTCTCTAGGACTAAAATGAGAGTTATATAAAAGCCAAAAAACTTTAGGTAAGATTTTATCAAAGTTAGGGACTATTCTTAGTAACACATTTTTCCCCTTTTGTATATATTTATGGAAGTTAGATCGAGAATTAACCAGATATAACTAAAAAGTTTAAGAACTACAATAAGATTTTCATAAAAAATTCAAACTACTGCAGAAATTGATATAACCCTACAAGACTACCTAGTGTAGAATTACCAACCATCAGAACACCATGTTGCAGAAGAACTGGTGGCTTGTTTCTTGCTTTCTCCTCTGGCCGCGCCACTGGAATTCTCTGAATGCTGAGAATGTATCCGTCTCGAGTGGTTACCTGCAATCCAAGAAATATGTCATGGTAGCAGATACCATAATATCAACTTTTAACACTGAAATCTGAATTATTGGCATAACTGAAGAGGCAATATAAGTTGAGAAATAAAACCTTGCGTTCTTCACAAACATAACCTTGCTTCTCCACCATGGAAGAACAGATACCATCATCTTCATAACTTTCCGATTCTGAAGTTCTATGCTGGCCGTGGACTGGATATAGCTTTGTTCTTGTTCCAGCTGCTGACACAGAAATCAGAAAAACTAGAATGATTGGGGTTAAAGCATTGGCCATCAAAAAATATGCTTAAATGGTTTTTTAGTATTGATGTCCTGATGCACTCACCTTTTCTATATAATTGCGGAAAAAACCAAATAAAAACAAAAGGACCTTCACATGTGAAGCTGATAATACACAAGCAGTTAAACAAGGCATCTTTGTGGGACCCATCTCGTCCCTAATGCAAACCCAGTGATGATTAAAATGAAACCTTTAGATTTTGTTGCCAAAGATCAATATTCTAACAATAAATTCCCATTCTACTTCACATCGCATAGAATGGCAGTTTCGATGAAGAGAATCTCCTTTGACTTTGTGTTTTTTATTTCTTTTGGTCTCCGGTTATCTTCCAAGCAAATTGGTCAATCATATTAAAGGACGTTTTGCGAACAAAAGTTTTTGCACATCATAGGCAATAACTCAGACCGAAACTCTTCGTCCGTGTTTAAAATTAATCTCATTTTTATTTTTTATATTTTTTGAGAAAAAAAAATAAAAACATTTTCAAAATAGTATTTGACACAATAAAAATAAAAAATAAAAATAAAAATAATTTTTTAATTTAAGTGTAAAATGAGAAAAATAAAAAATAACTTTTAATCATTTTTTATTTTTTATTTTCGTTTTCTCCTCTCTACATTAATGAATTTTTTTATACTGAAAATAATTTCTTAATAAAACTATCAAATATATTTTCAAAAATGATTTCTGTCTGAAATTAAAAACGTTTTCATTTTTATTTTCGTACAAAAAAATAAAATCATTTTGAAACGAGTTTCAAACACGTCCTTCAAAGAAAATGGGCTTAGAAGAGTTTCAACTTTCCAACCTGACGTAATATGTCCACTTTACCCAGTATTCTTTATAAGACACCCCTAATGCTTCTTGCTTCATATAAATGAAAGTTGAAAAATGAGGGTAGAATAAAGAGAAACCAAAGAGCAAAAACACACGGATGCTTAAGCAAAATTTACCTTCATATACAATTAAAAATGCACCGTGCATTACTTCAGTTAACAAAAAAAATGTATAATAGAATATATATATATATATATAAGCACAAAACAGAGGATTCATAATTCCTCCCAACAATATCACAATACAGAAGACTCTTTAATGAGGAATAGATCATATTATCTTTTCGTAAAACATGTTTTTCTAACTAACACGACGGAGACGTTCCTGCAGGACTACATGCAGTAGGAGCATCTTTCGTCTTTTCAGATGCTTGGGTTGTACTATCTGCTGCTTTAGGTCTGGTTAATGGTCTTTTGAGGAACGGAAGCTGGAGCTGCAATGCTCTAGGATATACCCGCCCAAGCAATTGCCACCTTTTAGGTCTTAATTGCCCAAGCATTTTCATCTGCTCCCTTTTGAATTGCCTATTTGCATACCACCTCCCACCTCGCCAACCCAAGGCATACCTACATGTCGTAAACAGAAAGACAAGCGTGAGTTGCATGCATAATGACATTGCTTTGTGCGCGGTGAAGTAGCAGATTGAGCACATCTTCAGCATAATCTGTCCAGTGTTTCAAATATAATTTAGAAGAACGCACCAAGCGTCCTCTAACGGAACATGGAACTCATTATACGCTTGAAATAGTTTTTGACCATAAAGTTTTTGTTATCATTGCCTTAAACAATTAACAATGATGAATAGATAACCATTTATAGGTTGTACTTTTACCATTAAAAATGTGCAAGCAATAATGTTTGCAAGAAAAATATAATATAAATTCAAGTACGAACCCAATAACTAAAGTGGTTCCAGCAGTAGCTACACAGGCAGAAGTGCTTAAACTTCCGGAATCAACAATCTTTCTAATTTCTGAATGTTCACCAAGATGACTGTTTCTCATCTGTAATAAAAATTAAATAGCACATGTCAATCAAACAAAATAAAGGGAAAAAATAAAGAGAGCAGGTACTAAGCAACAACAAACCAAAGAAACAACAAAACAGGTTTCAAAGTCATAAAAATCGTAGCACATGCCAGACACAGAAAAACAATTTATCCCATCTTATAGTACATAATGAAGAAAAACTGATTAATGTGAAAACGAAAACGAAAACGAAAACGAAAACGATAACATTGAGGAGCATAGCAACTTAAGTAGAAGCTAATCAAGGTATTCTAAGCAGCAAAAAATGGCCATGAAAAGTTCCTTTTTCACTTTTTTTTCCCCGGAAATGGGGGTCATTTGAATTTTACCTTATAGATTTGGCATCCAATTAACAATCAGAATACACTTTTTAGTACAAGGAATACAATAATTCCAACCATAGAAGAGAAGTAATAATAAAAAAGGGTCTAATATTTTTGCTTACAGCTTTCTCGATTGATTCAAGCCTTTGATCAACCCTTGAATCATGTAGGTGCCGCAAAGAATAGCCTGGACCCACCAAAACCACTCAATCTAATGACTCTTTTATCAACATGCCCACAATAATAATAATAATAATAATAATAATAATAATAATAATAATACACTTCCTTACTGTGAAAACTGATGTTCCTTCCACTGATTTTTTTTTTTTTTTTTCAAATACAAAATTCTAACCATTTGTTTTATTAAGTTTGTGGCAAGAAAACCAGACTAAATCAATAAGAATTAACGAATATAAAGGATCAAAGAACTTTACCAAACCACGCCGTAGCAACTGATGCCATGGAAGTTCCAACCGTAAAGACCACCTTATGCCTTTCAAATATATCCTAAGCCATCAACACCAAAGAATAATGATTAAAAAGAAAAAGAAGAAGAAAACATAAATTCCATTTCCACCCACAAAACCCTAACTAAGATAGGTACTAGAATCAAACACCTGAATTGAGGAAACCCAATATACCAATAAATTCAATAATCTATATATATATATATATAATCATATTATTGAAGGAAGAATTTACCTTCGTTGAGAAAAAGGTGTCCTGAATAGCGGCCCATGAATTGAGAGCTTTCTTCCTCAACTGGGCAGCAGCTAAAGAGCCAGAAATCGATGTCCTTGAAGCTCTAAGTCGTTGCATAGTGAATTCTGTTGAATACCCAGTTGAGTTAATCAAATTGAACCATCGGAAATCGCTGAGATGAGGGAAGAGCAGATTCCTAGGAATAGGAATCAAGCGCGAAGTTTCTTTCTGGGCAAGACTGAATCGTCTCCATTAATGTTTACTGTGTTTTGCTTTTCTTTTATAAGTTCTTTTGTTTTGTTTCCCCAATGCCCTTTTTGCCAAAGAAAAGGCATTAATTATTTAAAAAAAGGTTAATTTCAAATTTGACTCCAACAACTTTTTATCTCATTTTATTCTTAAATTTTTAAGTATCGTATTAATAGTTCCCAAATTATATAAAGCTTGTTCGTTTGCACAAACTCAAAAAAAAAAAATTTAATATAAGTTACAATTTTATTTAAATTTATATTTTCTTAAAAAAAATTTTGAGTTTGAATTTGAGTTTTAACTTGAATTTGAGACTAAAATCAGAGTTCGAGTTTCTTATTCAACTCAAATTTCTAAATTCAAACTTAAATTAATGAATAATATTTTTTTTATTTTTAAAAACGCCATAACTTTTTCTATTTTAAAAAACGTCATAACTTTTTCGTTTTAATTTCGATTAAGATGATTTTTTTCTATGCGTTCACAACGAAAAGATAAATAAAATCTCATGCATATACCCTATTAAAATTTTTCATCACTATTGAGTTTTTATTAAAATACTATCTAAATATAAATTCAAATTTTGACACATCCAAACACAAACTTAAATAGATTTTTAATTCAAACCATAACTCAAAATATGCACATCCAAAGACAAACTCAAATTAAAATCTCAACTTAAACCATACTCAAATTAAAATCTAAATTGAAATCACCCTAACTCAAAAACTCAAGAACAAAGCCATAAACGTTACATTTTCAATCTATTCATTACAAAACTGTTATACCACAGACAGACTTTACATGTGAGGAGCATATGATGCTTTTAACAAAAGTAATTTGATAAAATTAATATATTGATTTTTATTTTGACACCCAAGAAATATAGGGTATCTCACTTTGCCCCCTCAATATTCAAATGTCATATTGATGAACTCCTGAGCTTTATAAATGTTACACTTGTTATAAATGTGCAAGTGTTTTTTTTTAATTTTTTGTATGTTAAATACCATCCCATATTTGAATTCTTCGTTATGATACATGTAACGGCCATTTTTTTTCTTTTTTTCTTTTTTATTTTCATGACAAGCTATCATAAATATAATACCAACCCATATAGTTAATTTTCTCAGCATTGAAGATCATTTGAAGTTCTCGAGTTTTTTTGAAAAATTCGGATCCTTCTCCAAGATGACCTGAGTTTGCCTTTGGAGCACATTTTCGAAGTGCCGAATAGTGTCAGGACTTCGTCATCATGATCTCCATCTCTTGTTACCCAATTCTATCACTAATTCCGGCACACTCAAAAGCTACATTCAGAGCAACTTGCGTTTGAACCCATAGCAACACTAACTTATTTTATATAAAAAGCCTTATCTAACTTTCAAAGTGTCTTCTCCATTAACTATTTAGTTGCTCCTCCCACCTCACTTCATCAATATTATTTCTTCACTATCATTTTGTTCTCTTATACATTGGGTACGTTGGACATTTGACGACAAAGTGTGCCCTAGATTCACATTTCTTCGTCTTCATCATTCCGTTAGAGGTCCTATCGACATCATCTGCTTTGAGAATCGCTAGTGTTTTGGCCATGTTGGACTTGGAAGTAACATTAACGAGTCAAATACTTAAATGTGTACACTCTCGACACGCCACACTCTATGAATCTATCAAACCCAAACAGTCGTAAACCAAATCCAAGGATTACGAGGCTTGAGACACCAAAATGAGTATCTTGGGGTTGTTCAACGACATTAAAATATATTTCAATGTAAAATCCAGCAGGTTCTACGAGAGTCGAATGCACAAGCCGATGCATTGGAAAACTTGGGATCAACCATTGAGGTCTTAGAAAAAGAGAGCATACCAATAGGCCATCTGGATAAACCAAGTATAGGAGAAGTGGAACGAGTCAATATCATCAAAAAATGCCAATTCAGATGTACATTAAAGTAGGTTTTCTTCCAGATGATAAGCAAATCATGAGAAAAGTAAAAGACTATGTCAACACGTTACTCATTTATCGACAAGAAGCTCTGTAGAAGATCATTCTCTAGTCCATACCGTCAATGCTTGAACGAGGAGGAGTCTGAATATGTGCTGAAGGATATCCATGAGAGAACTTGTGGCAATCACACGGGGGTCAGTCTCTATGCAACAAGGTGAAAAGGCAAGGTAAAATGGCCTACAATGATCGCAGATTTTGAGGAATTTGTCAAGAAGTGCGACAAATGCCAGTGCCGCTCACCAATATTCACCAACCAACAGAAGAGTTGTCGTCAATTGGTGTGCCGTATTTGTTTATGAAATTTGCAATGGACGTCAGTGGTCCACTGCCACAAACACTTGGCCAGAAGAGGTATCACTTGATTCTTATTGTACTTCTCCAAGTGGGTCGAAGCAGGAGCTTACTCTGATATAGAAGACTCTGACGTTGAGAGTTTTTTATGGAGAAACATCATTGTAACTTTAGGGCCCGAGAGGAGTTGTTACGGATAATGGCTCGCAATTCATCTCCAAGTCGTTTAACAAATTTTGCCACAAATGGAAGATCACCCTAAGTTTTTCGACACCTCGCAATCGGCAGGGCAACGGACAAGCAAATCGACAAACAAAACCACCATAAACAACATAAAGAAAAAGCCCGAAGCTCGTAAAGGGCGATAAGTCGACAAGCTTCATATAGTGTTGTGGGCATGCAGAACGACCCTTCGAAATGCAACAGGCAAGTCCCCATTTTTACATGTTTTCCTTTTATTTTCAGTAGCTTTATTTTAAGCTTTGTTGATCAGTTGATACACTTCTCTTTTTTGGATTGAATCATATTCGATGACTTCACTTTTTTTTCCTTTTTATTTTAATAATATTGAGTGGAAAACTTGGTGTAAGATAATTTATTTGGTTGGGTGCCAATCTAATTAGGATGCGAACTTCATGATGCTAGTTGTCATCTCTCTTTTATTTTTTAAAAAGGAAAGAACATTACAAATGGGTAGAAAACATAGCAGAGCATTACTTTCATTGTCTAGTATTTCATAGTAGATAATTGCGTTCTCTTTCATCTTCTTGAACGTGGTGTTAGGTTTGTGAAGGAATATTTTTGGTTTTGAATCAAATCAGAAGCTAGTTCATTGTTAGGATCCTAGCTCAGAAAATCAGCCAAACACCAATACCACACTCACACACACCAGAAACAACAAGAAATGAGAATAATTGGAGGGAATTTTATTAATCTAATCAGCCAAGAACACCAAATTACACTGAAATGTAAATGATAGAACGGAGAATTCGAATACTCCGGGAACTCCTAATTTAGTGGTATTCGAGAGACCACCGCTCTCCCTAATCTCAATTTCTCAAAATTCTCCAAATCACAACATACTTCTAGTGAGCTACAAAGCCCTTTACTTATACTAATTCCTACTAACTATACCAGCCCACTAACCAAACAAGTTCTTAAGTCATTAACAAATCTAACATTTAACAAAGCAATTAGTAAGGTTCCGCTAATCTCATTCTCCATGTGGTTTAACCCAACCTGTATGCAGTGGGGGAAAAGCTTTAGCTATGAAAGGGTATTGGACAACGGCTCCTTTTACAATAAGGCATATCTCATTATAGTGCATGTTTATATTCATTAAATCCGTCAAATCGCGTTAATTAAAATGAAAAGTATAAAAGCTCATAGAATTTCGAATAATTTTTCGCAACTTACTGTGAAAATCTATTATTGGAAAATTGATATTCTACCATATTTTTATCAGTTGATACGCTAGTGTACAAGAATAAATGGTTCCTATCAAAGCTTCTGTCAAAAGAGGTAGTGTAGTGGCGCCTTCTCATCAAACTCAAAGCCATTTCCACATTCATGGTCTTGAGATTATGCCCACAACTGACCTAGAGCCAACCTTGTTCTTATGCTAGAAAGATACGAAGGTATAATGAACAAATGAAAATCAATAAGATGCATTGAACAATCATATACCAAAGAATGTAACTCTAAAGACATTAGAACTACTGTTATTTGTGATTAGATCATGTTTGTACACACGAGAAAATGGACAAACCAAAAGAAGGAGAAATTTATTAGAGTGAAGTAAAATTGGCAAAATGACATTCTTTCATTTTTTTATGAAAAATGACTACACGATCGTTCTTTATAAAAAATGATCGTTTCTAATAAAGAAGGGGAAATTTGTTAGAATGACTATCTAACAAAGTGAAATTGGCAAAATCAGATCAAGTGAAAAAGAGCAGTAGATCCATTGGTGAATTACAAGAAAGATGTATAGCTTCTCAACAATACAGAACAATGTCCAAATGCCCATGAAATGGGATGAAAACCATGATGCTATATTCTACAACGTAGTATTGAGTAAACTAACAAGGTGTAATATTTAGGGGGGAAAAGATCAAAGAAATAAAAAATCTCAAATTATGATCAGCAGCCACCAAGTGCCATATTTTCCCCCTTCTTTTTTTTCATAATTTTCTCAAGAAAATAAGCGAGAAAATGAAAAAGGACCGTTCTTTAAATCCATTGCAATCAAAGCATACAGTGTCAGAGGCACAAAGCGGTGGCTCGCAGCTCATCATCATCAACACCGCCGCCACACCAATCAGAGTCGTCCATCATCCGCGAAGGCGGCAGGTTCAGATCGAACGGCAAGACTCTGCAAGACGACGACGTAAGGACACAATCGTCACCGTCGTCAACCATCGACGACGACGAGTCGCAGTCGCTGTGACAATCATCTGGCGGGACAACTCTAACGGGCCGTCGATGAGGCCTCGGAGCCGGAGCCGGAGCCTGGGCCGAGACCCTGGGCCCACTGAACGACTCGACGGTGCTGCTGAGGCTGCTGGAGGTGGGCCTGCTGGCCTGAATCACGTCGATCTTGGAAGAGACCCTCTCGTCGTGGAAATTAGGGTTAGGGTTTGGGAAGTTGGTCTTGGCTTTTGGTCCGCGTAGCGACCAGGCGGCGGCGTCGTAGGCGCGAGCGGCCTCCTCGGCGGAATCGAAGGTGCCGAGCCAGACGCGAGTCTTCTTCCAGGGGTCTCTGATCTCGGCGGCGAATCGGCCCCACGGACGCTTCCGAACACCCCGGAATCGGACTTCTTGGAGATGTGAAGGAGGACGTTGCTTTTGGTCAATTCGTGTTCTCGTTGGATCTGAAGATTTTCCTCCTCGCCGCATGGGGTGGCGGAGATCGGAAAAAATGGAGGTTCACCGGCGAGAAAACAAAAAGGAAAAGGAAAGAATTGGAGATGGCGGATTAGACTACACCACACCTCCTTTTAAGGAATCGTTAATCTTGTTTTTTGCTCTCTATATTTTCTGCTCTATCTGTGATTTTCCAACCGCTTTCTTTCTATGTTCTAGGTATTCTGTTTTCTCTTTCTCCCTCCGGTTGAGAAAAGAAACTCGGATTCATCGCTTCTTATGATTTTCCTCCTTTTGTTTTCCTTTTTTTTTTTAATGGAATTTTCCTCCTTTTTCTATTCGTCGTTCTAAATTGGAATTCACAGATTAGAATAACATTAAGAGGATATTAGTTATAAGAACTGAATTGCCATTGCTTCTTTAGATTAATTACAAAATTTCCCCACGAATTATAACCTTTCTAATACTTTACTCTTTAATTTTTAAAACATAATATCTTTTTTTTTTAACCATAAAATATCAACAAAAAATCCCCTCAGTTAAATTTTTAACAAAAATTGACATTACATTAGTTATTTTAGGGGTAGTTTGATAACTCCATAATTTGAAATTTAATATGAATTTAAAACTAGTTTAAGTTTAGACTTCTAGGAAACATCCATCATTAATTGTTATTGAAAGTGAAGAAGATTTATTTATTTTTTTTAATTATATTGTATGTAAATTAGACTAAAAAAATTAAGGTGCAAAGTTAAAATAATAATAGTGCTTTAAATTATTTAACAATAACCGTTATTTGTATAATACGTGTTAAAAATTGTTAAATTTTTTAACAAATATGGAACGGTTATTACATTTTATAAATAATTTTTGTAATTTTTCTTGCTTCTTTTTATGCATTCAGTGTGGTGTTGATGGAATTTTGGTGATTGAAAGGACTTCCAGGATTATTTGTTTACTACTATTTAGTGGAAACGTGGAATTCCCAAAAAAAAAAAAAAAAAAAAAAAGAGAAAAAAAAGGGGGGAAGCAATAGTGATGTGTTTTTTTTTTTTTTTTTCAATATATGGCTGATATTATTTGGAATAAGTGGGGAAGCAAAACTTATTGAAGATTGAATTGATATTTTTTATAAATATTTTTAAAAAGGGAAAAGGTAGTAAATAGGAGATTTATAAAATAAAATTACAGCATCTTTAATATAATTCTAAGATTGACGTGTTAATTATAAATTTAATATTTGATTGTAAAAAACACTCTTTAAGGCCTCGTTCACTTCGCGAATTCGAGTTTTCAATTCGAGCTGAGATGTGATATTTTCTTAGAGCTTTTCACTGTAGTAGAAAAAGTTAGATGTGATATTTTCTGAGCATTTTCTGAGAGCTTTTCACTGTAGCAGAAAAAGTTAGATATGATATTTTCTGAGAGTTTTTTATTGTAGAAACTTAAAACTAAAAACTCGAATCGGTAAAATGAACGAGGCCTAATGTAATGCTATTTGTTGTTGTAAATTTTTCACATGCAAGACTTTGTGGTAAATTTTTCACATGCAATACTTTGTGGTAAATTACCTGCTATGTATAGCATATGAAAAATTTAGTATTTAATTACTATTAGTTGCAATGTTAATTATTTCATGTAATTATTGCAACTTTTACATTTTTAATTATTTTAAAAAAAGTTTACTTTTACAACTTTTAAAGCTTAATGGTTATGAGAAAAAAATAGATATAACATTTTAAATATCATTATGCATTGTAGTAAAAATAAAAATAACATAGCATATTATACTATTTCATGCTAAATATAAATTGGCATTAAACATTTGCATCGGAGATAGTCTTAAGTAAATAGTAGATTTTAAAACTATTTTAACTAAGTAGCAAATAATTTACCATGTATAATTTATGACTAATAAAAAATAAATTTCGTGGTAAAAAATCTTTATTAACATGGAAAAAAAATTTTAACAGTCATAAAATAGAAGATTTACGTGCAAATTTTTTTTTTTACTAATTGTAAATGAAACATTTACAGTAAATGAAACGTTAATAAAGATTTTTTTTCACGTTATTTCTTTTTTTCCACGTTAATAAAAATTTTTTACTAAAATTATTTTTTATTAGTCCTAAATTATACATTTACATGGTAAATTGCTATTTACTTCAAATAGTTTTAAAATTCTTTATTTACTTAATTTAGTTTAGAAATCTACTATTACTATAATTTTTGTTTTAAAAATGAACTTACTTTTATAATTTCGATTTGAGAAAATTGTTGAACCTATTCTTAGGGCCAGTTTAGTATTGATGTACTTTTAAAAATTTCTACTATTGATGTGATGTTAGTCAGAAGTTGTTATGACAAAAAACATATAGGTGTTTGTTGAATTTTTTTTTTCAAAGTTGTTGTGAATACCGGAAGCAGAAATTTAAGAGTTTGATAAACAATGTAAAAAATTACTCTGAAACTTTATAATTACTAAAATAGACATATTTTAACACACTCTCACGCCCCCCAAACGGGGTGGGTGACGTGGAACTCGATTTGGAATTAATAAAGCAGATTCCCAACCGGGTCCCACACTTAACTACATTAAAATATAAATAAACGACATAATTCAGGAGCCTCTGACACACAGGGCTCCACCCCACAGGACATACAGTATCGTACATACATGCACATGTAAATAATCAATTACAACAGACATCATCCACAGTCTAGTAAATCCAAATGTCATTTATTACAAATTCTTACATATTCCTTACACTTTATGTCAGAGGATGAATACAATCCTCACTTGATCATTCCGTAGCACCACTCAGCTACTCCCGCTACTGTGCCCCGCTTCTAGAGTCTCCTGGGAGGGGTTTTAGACATTTGAAACATAAAACGTGAGCGAAAGGCCCAGTAGGATATAATTTGAAATATTTAAAATAAATGAGCGCATGAATGAATAATTGAATACATAAATAAAATAAGACATTCAGTCCCGACAGAACAGCCGGAACCTCACATCCTTTTTCTCAAAGGAAATATAACTGAAAATAACCATGTTACAAGCTTCAGCAAGTAATTAGTACAAATTACTTACCTAACCAAGTGCCTCGCCTACCCGGACCGAGTTTCGGGTTCTGCCCCCGAGGATGCACTCTCC